CGTAATTGTGTTTTGTTTAATTTAAGCATGTTTGAGTAATCCTGTGTTATTAGTCTGTCTATATCTCCAAAAGCTCAAAATGCTCTGTTCAACCTTGTGATGTCATGAAGTGGTAGTTAACAGCTGCCTTTTACCTTTAGTTCAGTAAAGATAGGCAGTTCCAGAACTGAAATTATTCAAATGGTGTTAATGATTAAGTGAGATTCAGGAGCTGGACCACGCCTCAATCTCCTCTCCAGCCAACCACAGCTCATCTCAGCCACGCCTTCAATTACCCAGAAGCGCTTTTTATATGGCCTGTCCCAACAACACCGTCCACGTCAGCTCTCTCAAGATTCTCTCAAGATTGGAGACAGAACCCCCACCCTACGTTTTTCCCCCAGCCATCATATCTATCTGCCGTCAATAAATATCTATATCGTATTCCATTGTTGTGGCGTTGTCCTTGCTAATGAAATGATTCTAGAGAATGTGTATGGAATTTAATAACACAGTGGAGCACTTCCTGTATTACCACCTGCCATCACTCAGTTTGAGAGAAGAGCTAAGCCTAAGTATGCAGGATTTGTGTGTTAAACATGTGGGAATTAAAACAAAACTCCATGTATGTTTTTGATGAGGAAACAACATTACAACATAGGTCATAAAACAGTGTAATATGGACCCTTTAAAGTTCAGTTTGGGCCATTCACGTTCTAGCAGATACATTTTTTCCCACTTTATTTTCTATGTTATCACATAGAATTGAGTCGAGTTGGGTGCAAAGGAAGGAGACACAATCTTAAAAAAACAAACAAAAAACAAACTTGATTCACGATATTCATGAATTTAAATCCCTAAATCTAGTGTAAACATAACTAAATAGTTTGATGCGGTTTGAGGCCAGGAAATATCTTTGGAGAATTGACCAATTTGATTTGTTTTTTACAAGAAACAGACAAAATGTGCTGCTCCGACTTCCTAACAGCTGGCATGAACAAATTCTGCATGAAAGTGGTTCAGAATCCATTTAGAGAAGTAGAAATCCTAAAAGGAACCAAGCTGTGCCTGTTTGAAACAAAAAAAAACAAAAAACAAATACTATTAAGAGCCATTCAAGCAGTTTGTGTCACCAGTTCAAATGTTTGTGCTGTGTGAAGGTTTTGATGAAAAGAAGCAACAAAAGTCACTCTTTGTAGGGTGGCCATTCGTGACATGAAAATTATTGTTTTTTCATTACAATCAAAATATTTTCTTTTTTCTTTATTTGTTCCAGCCTGTTCTATTCTTGAAAAGGGGAAGTATGACCCTGGCGAAGTGCATGCTTAGCAAACAAAAACATTCATTAAAATTTGTCCATTCAACATCCAATTTAACATATACTATTTTAATTTAATGGATGCATGGAACTTATCGCAGTAACATAAGGGTAGGCTATAATTTTATATAATTGTAATAATCACCAACAAAGATAAAGACAAAGATCGCCATTATACCGCCAGAATGTGCAGGGGAAAAAAGCAAATTAATAATGTTTTCTTCTAGATCAATGTTGTTTTCAGGTACAACTAAATACAATTCTATTACAGTTTCTTAATTATGTAACCTATTCATTATATTAAAGGGACAGTTCAGAATTTTGGAAATAGGGCCTCATTTCCTAGTGAGACAGAGTACTGTAGATGTGTGGAGACACTTTTTGAAATAATCCATCCAGTCCTTGTATTTGGAGAGGTTGTTGGTGCTAGGCTAGCGCAAGTCAATGGCCATAGTTAGCCTGCCAATAAAAACAGTCTTACCCACTCCCCAAAGCACCTGAAGCAAATCTATTATTACGCCAGACTGTCAATGTAAATGTCTGTGTTAATAGAATAATTTCAGAAGTAAAACTAACCTTGTACCGCATGAATCGTTGCACATTGAGGGACTATTTTCTCGGTAGCAACGGAATTTTACTCTGCTCCAGTAGTTGTGATGATATGATCGTGGCCATATCTGGAACAGGCTTCTTCCTGTGCTCTATGTGTCACTATGGCAGCTGCAGGTAAACAAACTATTACAGTTGGTGCCAGTTGATATCAGTCCGCCACTGCTGAGCTTTCTATCAGGAAGTACAATTCACTGCTGCTGCTCAGACATAAATCCTTCAAATGCAAGGTTAGTTTTACTTCTAAAATTATTCTATCAACACAGACATTTACATTGACAGTCTGGTGTAATAATAGATTTTGCCTCGGGTGCACTGTGGAGTGGGTAAGACTGTTTTTAGTGGCATGCTAACTATGGCCATTGACTTGCGCTAGCCTAGCACCAGCGACCTCTGCAAATACAAGGACTGGATGGATTATTTCAAAAAATGTCTCCACACATCTACAGCACTCTGGCTCACTAGGAAATGAGGCCCTATGTCCAAAATTCCGAAGCGTCCCTTTAACATTGTAATTATTTATATCCATAACATTTTTAAAACTCCGCAACTTTAATAATTGTCATGACATAATCGCTATTCGCAACTATTATGGCCATGATCATTGTGCCACCAAATTTCAGCATTGTACCATTGTTAGCCTGCAGTAACATTAATGGTAACACATTTCATGCAGTTGAAGGATCAGTTTGTGCAGGTTTTTGAGCGTCCAGACACAGTGAGAACATGCAAACAACACATAAAAAGCACCTCACCATCTAGGAACTGTATGAGATTGCATACTTGCTGAGAGAGAAGAATACTAACCACTGTGCCACTCTGATATTTTGTTTTGTTTATATTCCATGGATATCACGGCTCAAAAATGGTGCCACATGACCATCTCCATAGTTGAAGGTTTTGGAGGACTTTGGGCCATGATACAGTTGAATGTTTTTGACCTTGTGGTGGACAGTCCTGTATAATTCAGTGTCCCCTCTCCTGGCCCACGACACACAGAGGAGATGCATGTAAATGATAGGGCCCTTGTCATTCATCACTGTCGCCACTTTGACACCGGGGAGGAAATAACAGCCCAGCCAGACTGTGTCACTTCCTGTGTGCAGCTACTTTGTCTTTGTTTAGCCCAGTTTAGGTGGCGAGGCGAATTCCAAATGCCCTGCCACACGCCCACCTACAGCACCTGCCTCCATGGCTTTCATTAAAGGCCCAGTACCCGTTTTTTCCTATGTATGTGAGCAAAATATGACTTGTATGTCCCAGTACAGAAATATTATACAAGCAGGTCTTAAGGTCAACACAGTTTGCATCTGATTATAGTGTGTTTTATTGTCCGATAATCAGGAAGTGTGCATTAGCAGGCTAGTTGTTAAACTCATCACTGGGAATAATCAGGAATGCATCAGGTAAGTGAGGATTCATTTTAGACCTCTGCAAACCGATTAAATAGACTAGTCAACCAGATACAGCACCTTGGATTGGATTGGAGTTTGTGTGAACAGAAATTGTACAATGGTTCCTGTGTTTACCATAACTTAAATTTGTGGGTATTGGCTCTGGTCCGGTAGTTTAGCTGCATTTATTGGACACGGGCAAATTCAAGACAGCCAAGGAGTCAAAGGTCAATAAAGGGTCAATATAGCAGATATTACTTCCTGAGCTAGTATATTGTGGGTTCAAATTTATGTCTGCGGACTCCATCATCCATTTATAATTCACCAGTTCCAATTGATCTATTATGTATAAGTATCTGAAATCTCAGTGAAATGTTCAATTCGCAAGAACTTTGTATAGGATCTCTTTAAAACAGACCTATTGTGCAAAATCGGCTATTTAGACCTTTTAAACATGTTATAGTCGTTTCCCTTTTGCATTTAGTCTCCAGAAATCTTTATCCTACTGTACTCAAGATGTCATTGCTCCCTCATTTTCACTGCCATTGCTATACACCCACTGCTCTGTACTTACTGTGCTCTTCAGTTTTATTTTCTTAATCCGTGATGCACATTTGGCAGTATCGCATAGTCATTTTGGTACAAAAGAAGCCTGCATGGCCATTTGTTGTGATGACGTTTATGGTGACATCAGCAGACTTGTTTTTTATTAATTCCATCCATGCATCCATTTTTTCCGCTTATCCGGGGCCGGGTCACGGGGGCAGCAGTCTAAGCAGGGACTCCCAGACTTCCTTCACCACAGACACGTCCTCCAGCTCCTCCTTTTTTATTAATTTGTTCAGCAATTTAATATGTCCAAATGTATAACGATATAGAAGATTCAAGCACTTTTTTAAGCGAATGTTTTCATCCATGAAGAGCACTCATTGTTCACATTTTTGGATCCAGTAAAGCACACACGGCCTTACCGGTCCTCTACTCTGTCTTATTTACAAGAGTCACCAGGAAACATATTCTTATTCAAGGAACATAAGAACCATATCGAGCGAAAGTAACTATAGCAAACCCATTGGAATCATAACGCTGTGTGAATAGTCAATTGTAACACTGTATCACTGTTATCACAGTTCTCTATAGTGGTTTTGAAGCTGTCAAGTGAGCACGCCATATTATTGGTTTCCATTTTATATAAATATGCTACAGTGTCTAGACAGTGTCCTATAAATCCATGCCCCAGAGCTATCACAACAAGTTTAGAAAAGGGAGTGATGTGTAAAGACAAAAGGGCACAGAGTTTTCATGACTGGCTCTTGATGTGCACAAATGGCCGCTCTCATGCTGACTCATGTCCTCATTCAAGCGAGCACCACCATCACTCTTTTCTGACAGCTGTCCAAAAAATGAACTAGTGCTGGGTTGCCCACTTGTCCGGTCTCCACGTCATATTTCTTTCATATCATGATTCATATTTGAGCCAAGGCGAGGGGGCCGTACCTTTGAGTGAAGCTGTTCTCCTTCCTGCGACAGTGAAGGGTGACGATCCGGTGGCCCTCACTCCGGACATCCTGGCTCACAGTCCACAGAACCGGGTTACTGGCTCTTGCCCCCAAAAACGCCACGCCATCCTTCAGTCTCACTCTAAAAGATAAAAAAAAAAACATTAGAAAAACACATAAGAGAAGGTCGTAAGAAAGACATCGGGTTAGAGGAAACTCTGCGAGGTCGTACATTTAGTGTCATTGTGTCAGTGGCAATTTCAGCTGCTTCTCTGGTGCACAAAGCCTGGCAAAACGAATCAAATTAGATGGTCCTTTAAACCGTTTCACTCAAAAGGTCAGGAAACAAAAGCTTCAAACATCAGTCTCAGAAGGCAGTAGACTGGATACTCCAAGTTATACTCCAGATAGGCACAAGCAGAAATCCATTTACTAATTGTTTTAATGCGAATTAAGAGGAGATGAATTAGGATGAAAAAGACTGAGCCGATTCACTGCACCAAGGATTTACTTTTTAAATGGCTGTCACAATTACAATAACCTAATTATGGTTATTTCAGCTTGGCGTGATCATTTAGCATAATCACTCAAACGATTTCCCTTCAACCAGGTGAATTATTTATTGTGTAATAGAGACAGAGACAATGTCATTTTGGGTTCTTTGTTTTCCAATTTCGCGCATGAGCAAATGTGTCTTCTGGTGTCAACATGGGTTTTGTCTTAAGCCTAACCATAAACTTCAGGACTCTCAGTTTGAAACTTTAGCCTGCGGCGATAGCAAATAAAAATCTCAGCACTACTGACAGTTTTTGTCACAAATATTTTGAGCAAAAACAGCAGCACTGATTCATACCTGTATATTTAGACACCAGCAGGATGCAATTTGTAGTTCTCTTTAAATGGGATTCAAGGAGTGTTGAAAAGTACATTTGACGCAATGCTGTAATTTCAGTGTTTTTCAGCATAATTGTATTTTTTCCTTACAAAAAAATAAAACCCACAATTTAGAGAATATAGAGCAAGCTCTTACTACCTGCTGTGTGTTTTTTTTATTTTATTTACCATTTTAGTTTGGTTGGCAGTTGCCAAGACATTTAAAATTTGTGCAAAGGTGGTTTGAGATGGCATTTTATAACGGACCCAGGAATAATTTTATTAAAGAGGAGGTTGTGCAAAATAGACTTCCCTCATCAGAAACATGCCTGAAAGGGTTTTATACATCATCCATGTATATTTGAGTAATCTAGTGATCTCTCCTGGACCCTATTTGCACCCTTCTTACAGCCTACATTACCTATGCTCTTGCATGACAATTTCCCACTGATTGTGTTGTGAAAGCACTTTGAAAGGGGTGGGCATCAAAAACGAAACTGAAACTTATTAATAGGGTAAAATGAAGCAACTAACTACCACTACAACACAGCACAAGGTGGAATGGAGCATTTTGAGCTTGACAGAGATTGACAGATAGACTAATGATGCAGTGTAACTCAAATGTGTGAATGAACTGATGAAACAAAACACAACTTCAGGTATGTTTTTGACGAGGTAACAACATTCCAACATGGTTTAAAACTCAATTTTGTGTAATACAAAAATAAAAATTATAAAATTAAATTAAAAACAAAGTAGTCTAAAGTTTTTTTCACTACTAAACTCACATTTAATCAGATCAAGCCAACCAAGCACTATTAGTATCACTGCGATGACACTAAATTATCAGTAGTTCCACATGTACCAAAACATTCCTTGATATGCTGCTGGATGCTTCAGTTTTGCAGTATACATGCCAAATTGCATGCTAGCACAGTGCCCAGTCCCTCTCGAGCCCACTTGGTCACAGCCGGTGGAGAGCGGTTCAATCACAGCAAAAGCATGACCCTTTCTCTGCTGTTGTCCTCCTGCTCCGTCGTGCGAAATTACTATGAAGTACATCCACCGCTTTCCGAGTTTCTCTTTTACAACATGACAAATTGCTCTTGTTCAAAGCCACTGGCACGAACGGCAGATTTGATGGCCAGGGAAGAAAGATGGCAGGGGGGAGTAAGTGAAGCTATAAGGTACATTTCTATCCTGGGACTTTTTTCTATACATCTGAATAATTGAAAAAAAAAGTCTGTATAGTAGCACGGTGATATACAGTACAGGATAAGGGAATATTCACGGTGGATAATGACAAATCAGACAGCAGCCCTCTGAAGTGTACGTTCATTAATCGCCCATGTTCAACCACTGGCTTTTGATCTTGTACCATTCGCAGGAACAGCAATAACTATGTATGCTGGCTAACTAGATAACATTTAGACAGTCTGTAGACGTAAATTTGTACTCAATAAGAGTATCCTCATTTTAAGAAAGTAATATTTGAGAAACACACTTGAGTTTAGATGGAAATGTAATTTCATATTCATGAGCTAAGGTAATCATAGTGGAAAGATAACCGACTACTATTACACATAAAATATATTATCATGCTGGCGTCATGAAGGCCCCTCAACTGTGTATCATTCGTTCATTTTTTTTCAAATATAAAACCAAAATAAGAGAACGAAAAAACAACATTTGCTTCATTATTTGTTCAAAACCAAAATGAAAAAAATGGATAGCAATAGTTTGTTTTTTCATTTTTTGATTTAGTGTTTAAAATCAAATAATGGAAAAATTTTAAAAAAGTTAATGGCCGTTTCCTATGACTAAACTGCGATGCTGGACTGAAACAGTCTCAAAAGTCTCAGTCCCAGTCTAGTCCTCAGTCCTAGTCTCAGTCCTAGTCAGAAACGGGAAACGCCGTTTCCGTGACTTAAGCAAAATGACATAATTGAAAAATGACAAAAGGAATCGTTATCCGTTTTTTCATTTGGTTGTGGAGAAAATAATGAAGAAAACTGTGTTTTTCGTTTTCTATTTTTGTTTTATATTGAAAAACGAATGAACGAATGATACACTGAGTCCCCCTCCTATATGAATAGCCACAGATAATGCTAGCGAGTAGCAGATTTTTTTCCATTTGTACCAAAATGACTGATTAAAAAATATAATTGGAGAATGAAGTAAGTAGAGTGCATAGCGTCTTGAAAATAAGCAATTCAAGATTGCTCAAACATGCTCCACTCCAAATACAACTGTGGGGGAAACAACTAATTACTGGTTAAAAGCTTTAATGGAAGATTTTGCCTAACAGGTCTGCTTTAAAATAAGCAAATAAATGAAGGTAAATGTACAGAGTATAGACACTCTGCATTAACACCAAACACAAAACTGGGAGAAGTTAAGTGACACTCTTCTACCATTCTTCATCCATGGATTACATAACTACATAAACTTTTTCATTTCTGTTTCAAATTAAAACTGAAGCAATATTAGGAAGTGCCACACCTACAGGTCAGTATCAACACTAATTGCCTCTTTGCTGAAAGTTTTGATTTACCCTGGCAAAAAACATTTGGGAGGTATTTTGAATAGGATAATGAGCAATGTTGGTTTAGTGAAACCGTAAATGCTTCAGCTAACAGCAACCATGGTTAAAGTTTAATGTTATGGTTGTTTGTATTTTGGATAATTTTTACCAACAATGTACATTCTTCTACAAACAGTAAATAATTGTTTCGGGTGTTCAGTTATGGTCAATATTTTTTATAATGTAGTGCATTGACAATTATCCATTTAAAAATCCTTCCCTGTAGGAGGATGATGCATAACCTTAGCGCTTTGTACAAACTGAAAAGCAGTCCTTAAAANCCTTCATGACGCCAGCATGAGTAATATATTTTAATGTGTAATAGTAGGTCGGTTACTCTTTCCACTATGATTACCTTAGCTCATGAATATGAAATACATTTCCCATCTAAACTCAAGTTGTAGTTTCTCAAAATATTACTTTTCCTTAAAATGAGGATACTCTTACTTGAGTACAAATTTACAGTCTACAGACTGTCTAAATGTTATCTAGTTAGCCAGCAGTACATAGTTATTGCTGTTCCTGCGAATGGTACAAGATCAAAAGCCAGTGGTTGAACATGGGCGATGTAATGAACGTACACTTCAGAGGGCTGCTGTCTGATTTGTCATTATCCAACCGTGAATATTCCCTTCATCCTGTACATGTATATCACCGTGCTACTATACAGACTTTTTTTTTCAATTATTCAGATGTATAGAAAAAAGTCCCAGGATAGAAATGTACCTTATAGCTTCACTTACTCCCCCCTGCCATCTTTCTTCCCTGGCCATCAAAATCTGCCGTTCGTGCCAGTGGCTTTGAACAAGAGCAATTTGTCATGTTGTAAAAGAGAAACTCCGGAAAGCGGTGGATGTACTTCATAGTAATTTCGCACGACGGAGCAGGAGGACAACAGCAGAGAAAGGGGTCATGCTTTTGCTGTGATTGAACCGCTCTCCACCGGCTGTGACCAAGTGGGCTCGAGAGGGACTGGGCACTGTGCTAGCATGCAATTTGGCATGTATACTGCAAAACTGAAGCATCCAGCAGCATATCAAGGAATGTTTTGGTACATGTGGAACTACTGATAATTTAGTGTCATCGCAGTGATACTAATAGTGCTTGGTTGGCTTGATCTGATTAAATGTGAGTTTAGTAGTGAAAAAAACTTTAGACTACTTTGTTTTTAATTTAATTTTATAATTTTTATTTTTGTATTACACAAAATTGAGTTTTAAACCATGTTGGAATGTTGTTACCTCGTCAAAAACATACCTGAAGTTGTGTTTTGTTTCATCAGTTCATTCACACATTTGAGTTACACTGCATCATTAGTCTATCTGTCAATCTCTGTCAAGCTCAAAATGCTCCATTCCACCTTGTGCTGTGTTGTAGTGGTAGTTAGTTGCTTCATTTTACCCTATTAATAAGTTTCAGTTTCGTTTTTGATGCCCACCCCTTTCAAAGTGCTTTCACAACACAATCAGTGGGAAATTGTCATGCAAGAGCATAGGTAATGTAGGCTGTAAGAAGGGTGCAAATAGGGTCCAGGAGAGATCACTAGATTACTCAAATATACATGGATGATGTATAAAACCCTTTCAGGCATGTTTCTGATGAGGGAAGTCTATTTTGCACAACCTCCTCTTTAATAAAATTATTCCTGGGTCCGTTATAAAATGCCAT